TTTCACCCTTAATCCCTTTGCAAGCTTGGCCCACATCCGTATGGATGTGGGCCAAGCTAAGCTACTACTACAAAAGCTACTACAAACTACGCCGACGACGAGACGAGCGGCCTTTTAGTACGCGAATGTACTATAAAGTCGCCAGCAGCTTATACCTTCGTCTTAACCACGAAGTGCTACCCTAACAAGCCCACCTACCAATGAACCACGCACCACTGCAGCTCCAACCATTCCTCGCCTTTCTCCAACGCCAGCACTAGCTCAACCCACACCAGCTACAGAACCACGCCGCCGGCGATTAATTCGAGAGCCAACGCTGAGTGTGGGGACCGCACGCCTTATTTTGTAAGCTGAATCACAGCGGCAAAACTCAAATAGAAGAGGAAAAGTTGGAGTTATGGAGGATATTGATTGCAGAAATGAGAGATTTAAAAGATCTTTTAAGACAAAAGTATTTTAATATAATTTACTATTACTATTTTATAAGTAATTAAACATAAAAACGTTATCTACAGAAATATTAAAATATTGGATATCTATGAAGGAAATTATTTTTCTTTTTGGATGACACGGAACCCCACAGGCGGCGAATTAGGCTACTCCTGGTACTGAACCTTGATGGAGAGCTCCTTTATCTGTATGGACAGTTCCAGCATCAGGATCCACTGCTGCTATCTGCATCTGAGCTTCTCTCAGCATATCTTCATTATTCAATTCAGGCACAGAAATATTTTCTCTATTACAAATGTTATGTAAAATGACACCAGGGTTAACAATACGAGTAGAAGCAGCAACCTCCGGTTTGTAGTGTAAAACTCCGTGCACGAAAATGCAACGAAAATTGCCTTTAAGGAGTCCAATAGTCCTTTCAGTTGTTTTTTGGTTTGTTTTTTTTTTATGTTAGAGGGGACAGACGAGCAGACGGGTCACCTGATGGTCAATGTGACTAATTGTATTTCTTGTCTGGATATGAATGTTGGTGTAATGGCTCTCCAGTGTACCAGGAGCTGCATTGATGATTGGAGTTATTAGCTATTTCCTTAGTGGATATCCTGAGTCACCTACAACAATCTATAATTATTTACATGTTTCTTCTTTTATAATATAGTCTTAAGTTAACATATAAGTTTGGTTAAGTGTATATTGCTTAGCTTAAACTGGGATCTATTTATTGTTCAAATTGAAGTAAGATTTCTTGAAAATTTGACCTACCAAAGATAACCCTATAAAACAATACAATAATTCCGTACCAGGCGTGAATAACTTGACAAATCGAAAATACAAATTTTTCAGGGCAGCCATTTTAAGTTTAAGTTTTATCTGTTAATTCTGATTTTATGTTATTATATACTTTTTTTATCTGAATGTAATTCATTTGCTTGGAGTTTTCAGATAACATAAGAATATTTAATGAATTTACTGTATTTAAAGTAAAAAAATGACATATCAAGTTGTTCACCAATGAGTTATCAAGTTGTTCACCTAAGTACCTTTAAGGGAAGTACTTGTGTAAAAAAAATCAAAAGTAATAAGTATAGTCTCTGCCTACCTCTTATGGGACTGAAATCGTGATATTATGTATGTAGGTATGTGTATAGGTATGTATAGGTAATTAAGAAACAAACAATTACAAAATAATTATTTTTATTCCGAAAACAAAGTTAAAATATTATAGAATTAGTTGAATTCTTCTCCGTTTCCTCCTGCATCAGGGTCTTCGGAGTCTAAATCAGGATACGTCACTATCAGTTTTAATGTTTTTATAAAATTCGTGAAAAATGGGATCTATCAGTGGCAATAAATCCATCAAATCCTTATTTTTTTCTTTACTTATTGGTAAAGTCTCTTTTGAAACAACTTCTAATTCTATAGTGTCTAAATTGAATTTACTTCTTTGCCTGTAATTGATGACTCTAAAAGAGCTTTCGTTGTCAAGATTTGTCTTAAAACGTATTTCTCCGTTAGGTTTCTTATATTGCAGCCATTTCACTGGTTTCCATAAAAAATTTTCACCACTAGCATCCTTTTTTTTAATTGTAAATGGACCTTTCTTGGAACTCAATTCTGCAAAATTTAGAAAATTTTCTAGTTTCATGGGTACAATGGCAAATCCGTTATTAATCTTGCAAGATCTTATCAGTTGCATCCAATCGTTAAGATGATTTATTTTAAGCTGCGTTTTCTTTTTAGTTCTTTCGAATAGGGGATGATCCGAGTCACATTCCATGTGGCTATGTCCGCTAATCAAAAACTTATGATTGATTGTCTCTAGGGTTGGATGCACATGCAATAAATACATGAACATCATTGCAACAGCGTTATTTTTATTCTGGCCACCACACGTGTCAGAATAAAATGTGACCTCTGTAACTTCAGGTGGCAAATTTTGTAAACAATGCCACAAACACGAAGCAATTTGATTTGCTCCTCGAGTACCGATGTTTTCGTCCCACATGTAACAAGTAGCTTTATCATCTCTTAAGTTATGAATTGTAAGATTGTAGGACCATAGTTGTCTCTTATAAAAAGAGACAGACGTCTTCAGGAATGGCCTAGGTAAGCATTGCTGAAGACCAAATGCATAAGCTCGAAAATTTGAATTGCGCTTTGCTTCATCTTTGTCCTTTTTTTTTGCTGCATAAGCGGTTTCGGCTTGTGATTGATGTCCACCCAGCTCTTCTATAAAGTTGGTATTTTCCTCTCCTTCAGCTAATGCTATCTTTGTATTCAAAAGATCGCATGTGTGGCAAGTATCTTTAGCCGGTTTTTTGAATGATAGGTTTAAATCGTGAAAACACTGGGAATACAATTTAAGTGAAATAGGATTTGGGCAACTTTCTCTATATAAACGATACATAGCAGCTATAGAAAGGTCCGATGATAAATATTTTTCATTTGTTCTATTTCTGCAATAACGACTTTCGTAGTTTGGGAATGATAAGATGTGATCTTTGGCAGATTTTAAATCATCAACAGTCCTTTTAATTTTAGATGGCTGATGTCCTCTTGTATCAGCTGGAAGGATTCCGGTTGTGGAGTGTTTTTTTTATCTATTACAATGTTAATGAAACCTTTAGTTTCCCCAAAAGTTTTGCAAAAACAATCTTTACAAATTGGTCTGCTTTCATTATTAATTGTTAGTGTATATTTGCAATAGCAATCCCTATTAATTGTTCTGCTGTCGGTTTTCTGTGTTTTCTTCGGTAATATAGTAATATGGCTGGCAATATACGCTGCTCGTCGATCTCTGCTTCATAGATTCCAATATTCATCAAAGCACAGCTTTCTTTCGAATTCAGAAAACCACTCAATACATTTCAGTCTACAAAAAGTAAGTGCTCGTATTTGCTTCTCAGCAATTTCTTTACCTTTTACTGTAACGTAGCTTTGACCAGAATTTCTTAGTCTTTTACATTCTTCTCTCTTTTTCCTTGATCTACCTTTCCTTTTTCTAGTATGAATTTGATCTTCTGAGACAACAGGCAGCACTTCGCATATGGTCTCGTCATTAGTAACTGCTATTCTATCTATGGGAGAACTTAGATTATTTTTGGAAAGATGTAGATCGTCATCAAGGTTTTTTTTTTTTTTTTTTTTTTTTAAAAAGACAACTCCCGCATTAGGAATAAATCCTGTGTCGCGGGGGACTTTACAAACATACATGAAACGGACACAAAGAACACCCAGACTCAGAACAACAATTTGTGGATCACACAAAGTGTCGTCCCATGTGGGGTTTGAACCCACAACACTCGGCGTAGTAGGAAGCGGCGTGGCGACCGCTTAAACCACTACGCCATCCGTGCAGTCAGTCAGTCAGTCGGTTTACATTGCTGATTTGTTGAGTGCTTAAATCTTTATTCAGATTTTAAGGATAAACTCGTGTTTTAAGGATAAACCGCCAAAACTGCAGCTATCTCTATTTAACATATCACCGCATGCGCAACGGATAAAACTGTAATAGATGATAGATTTATTTGTCACAAAATACAACGCAATTTTGATGCGATAATAACTGGACAACTTGATTTATGCTATTAAAAACGTTAAGTAGGTTGTTTGAATAAATGAACATCTCGTGTTGTTCGTTAATTTTTATTAATAGTTGGCAGTATTATATTGACATGTTGAGTTGTGTAAATAATTACAATTTGTATGCTCAAGACGTCACATTGTACCCTTTAGTAAGAGAGTTATTCAAAAATACACATGTTTGCTATGTGCGGTAAAACAGACCTATCGACTTAGTCCTTTATTCACCCTATGAAAGAAGCAATCCTAATGCCTATTATGCATTAAAAAAAAAATGTAACTCAACTTATCAACCTATTCACGCTCGGTACGGAATTATTTATATGTATATTTTTATGTATAACTGATTTCTTATGTAATAATTATTTAATAATTACATACTACATTTAGTATTTTTGTCAAGTTCTTTTTTTCAGCAATAAAATTAATTATTCAGAAATAATTTTAAAGATTATATTTACCACTGATGACCAAAAAATAAACAAAAAAGTAGTTTAGTTAGCTTGAAGTAAAAATTAGGAATGATCAATTATTATTTTTAATATAATAATGTGTCTTTGTTACATGAAGTTTAAGTCTTTTCTCAAGCTACATAATTCTATTTAAGTATTTTATTATTATATTCAAGTATTATATTTAACTATTTCAGTATTATATTATTTAAGTATTGTAACCTTAACTAACAACCATGTGTATTCATAAAATTTTGGTGCACCCATTGAAAGAACACTTAGAAAATTTTATTCTATTTAATTTCATTCTATATGAAAGAATCATGTGTGGCACCCCTACAGCTAGCATATACACTGGTAATTTGCATATCTGAATCAAAAATCTAAACGGAAGTTACACATTAAACAGATTGCTAAAATTTACTTATAATAATTGTATATTACTACTTACCAATTGAACATATAGGTAGTGATAGTGTTTCCTACAATAATACCGTTCGCCGTGGTCTATAGGCCTCATAAATGCAACTTGTGTGCAATCAATGCACTCCAAAACACCAGGTATGTTAAACTTTTGGTAAAATCTAAAAACAAATTCATCTTTATTAGCAAGTAATAAGTTACTATTGAAATTCATGAAATTTACACAGTCATTGTTCAAGAATAAAAATAATTTATTAGAACAGTGTTTACCTAGCTCATGTTTTATTTCTTTCCTCTGGAGTTTGTGGAAAATGTATGTACTTTCTCCTCATGTTAGAGAATCAATGCATGCTGTAACTTCAACTATCACTGATGAGACAGTCTGTTGGGCCATGCTATGTGCGCTGATGTCTCCAACTGGTCTTTGATAGGACCCAGTTCCATAAAATGACAGGGCAGTTAATATCTGAAACAATAAAGTATTTTGACTTATTTGCTAGAAAACTGGCAGGTACAAATTTAAGTATTACAAATAATATGAAATTAAGTTTAACATTAAAGTATTAAACAACATAAATTGTAAGGAAATTATTGAATTAAAGTACTATTAAATTGGAGTAAACTGAAACTAGTTGGGTACATACTATTTTGTTTTTATACTTTAGAGGTTCCTTGTATATTTATGATGGGTCAGTTAGTGGGTGATACTGACCGCAAAGTTCTATTCCTACCCAGGACAAATAATTGTGTGATGAGCATTTGTTGCACACAACAAATGCTCATCACACATTATTTGTCCTGGGTAGGAAAAGTAACACCCAGACACATCTGGGTGTTACTTTTCTACAATATGTATGTATTTAGTTTAAAATTATATAAGTATGTTTATCAGCAGTCTGATTACCATAACTCAGGTTCTGCCTAGTTTGGGATGTTATTAAATTACATTGTCCATATAACTTTATTCTAAAGCAGTCTTAAGTTACCTTTTTTTCCACAAAAAGGTCCGTAGACCTCACAGGTTTTCTTAAGATTGGCCCAAGTTTCTCACACAGAGCTAAAAGCATCTGCTTAGAAAGCCGGTACCTTTTTATAAGTTCTTCGTCTTCTAAGGCAGTATAAGTATCTTCTCTTAAGTCACGTCTACAATTTTTTCTTGAAGAATTATCATTGTTATCATATCAAAAATTCAAACTCAATTTTAACACACAAATACGCAAAAACAATTCAGTTTAGGCTAGTAAATAGTAAATAGCAACTTTTATTGGATAGCAGTTGAGTCGATTATTTTGACAGATGAATAGACGTTTAGTGAGCTTGTGGTACAGTTTGGTATTTCTTTATCTTAGGTTTGTAATATGAAATGCGATCATGGTACGAATTTTAATGCCTGAAACAAGCATAGCGATTCAGTTTAGTTCGGTTCCATTTGTTTACATTGTAACTTCAAACTGAGCGTTCTTTTTCGACGTCATGATATGAATTAATAAAACAATTCAGTGTAGGTCTGCAATTGGATCGCAATAAGAGTTCATGGTAGGCCTGCTGAGCATCAGCACAGGCTGGCAATTTGTCCAGCTTGGGCGCCGCAGCGTCGGGTCCTCATTGCAGTTATTGGGGGGATCTCTCGCTACCGGCCGTCATACGCTCCATGGCCGGTAGTGACAGATGTTTGACCGCGGTCGCGGGACGGGTTTTCCCCTCCACCCGCCATAATGGCCAGCCGCGAGGAGGTGAAGTCCACGTGTGCCGGACGTCAACTAAATAGAGAATGTACCCGAAGGTGGTGCTGGGAGGGAGGGGTCCGGATGTCTTAATAACTGCAGTTCCCGGATCCCTCCTATTACAGGCGCAGAGTGGCACACCGTGTAGTTTTAGTCGGTCCGATTCCGACACACCCGATTCAGACTCGATTCCTGCTTTAGACTCGCTTATTCGAATACCAATTTATTTTGATTCGAGTACGCCGGACTCGAATCCGGCACTCGAGTCAGGAAGAATCGAATTTGTACTCGCTGACTTGATTCTGTTTAGCGATTCCATGTGACTCGAATCTAGCATACGAGTTAGGTTGATTCGCTCGTACTCGATATCTGTTTACATAAGGAATGATGTGACGCCTTTTTTTTTGTTGTTGGGGTGGAAAATCCCTTCGGATCTCCTGCTCCTCGGGGACTATGAGCCAGGAGTATGTGGTGATTCCACTAAAAACCACCCCGACGGCCGGCCTCAGGTGTCCTACTCTGGGGAGGACCCGGACCATGTTATTTCAGGTCCTCCCCGAATTGACACCATGCCTAATCAGGCCCTATCCCAGGAGAGAAGAGTTCTGGACCCGAATTTCTAGACCCAAGTTCTAGATCGAATTTCCAGACTAGAGTTCTGGACTCGAATTTTTAGACTCGAGTCTTAAACTCGAGTCTTGGACTAGAGTTAACATTCGAATACCAAACATAGAACTCGAGTACTGGGCTCGAATCGCGGAATCGAGTCATGATTCGAATACCGTATAAACCGACTCGAGTCGATTCGATCCACCAAAACAGCGACTCGGCACATCACTAACCCGCCGCAAACCCCGGTGGGGTGACAGCCCGAGGGGGTTGCCACACGTAAAAAAAAACTAACATATACAATTACACATATACATACCTACACACATAAATATACATATATACATATACTTTATATTCGTACAGTGTAACTAGGGGGGGAGTTGTATCCTGTGAAGGCATTAGTCGGAGAATGATCACAACATTACTAGTCCTCCTCCTTACCGATATCTTCCATATTGTAAACTTCTCCCGCATGTATGGCACATTTCCTTATCTGTGGCGGAGAGCATATGTGCGCCCGTTGCCTAAAACTTCTAATCCGTCTCTTCCCACTCATTTTCACCGATTTCTATCCTACCCATTATCTCCAAAGTGCTGGAAGCCTGTGTCCATAAACAGTTCTCCCACTTCATTTACAGTGACAATTTACTCAGTCCTTTCCAGTTTTCGCTCTTCTTAAAGTGACTGGCGGCATTAAGGTGGGGATGGAAAATACTGAGATTACTACCGTAGTATTGGTAGATTTTTCCAACGCCTTTAATATCGTGAGTCACGAGCTCCTCCTTGCTGTTCTATCCCATTTCTCGGTCATCATTGGGGGTAACGGTGGTATGAGCCAGCTCGACCTTGCTACACTTCCACCTCTTTTCTATGATGGTATGGTTATTAGATACTGTGAAAGAGTGAAAGACTTAGGACTATATTTTGATACGACTCTCAGGTGGCGGAAAAAAGTTGCATCTGTGTGGCAGAACAGGCTCGTTGCACGCCCTCTATAGGCTTATGAACTTTCTGCCAGCAAAAACTAAGGTCATTCTTGTCCAGACTCTAATATTCCCTATAATCGACTATGGTGATGTGTGCTACTTTGACCTGAATGCAGATCTACTCAATAAGCTTGACCGCCTTCTAAATAATTGCATTCCATTCGTTTTCAATTTACGCAAATATGATCACGTGTCTCAGCATCGCTCCCTTTTGGAGTGGCTTCCAATTCGCCAACGCAGGTACCTGTGTCTGATCCGCAAGGAGTTAGCGCCTGAGCGCCATCACTGCGATGGCCGGACCGTAGACACGGCACTCCACACGCTGGCTGAATACCCGGCGGGGGTGGAGCAAAGTCGTGGCCTCGTGGCGGCCGTCGGTGTGGAAATACTCTCGCTCGGTGACATAATTGCCGCTATAGTACGGAGTGAGAGTGCATGGAACTCCACCGTCTCTTTTTGCGAGCAGGTTATGCTTGCGAAGGAGATGGTGGAGCGGGATCGGAAGAGGTTCAGAACTCTCCCGGCCCGCCACTCCCGAGAACGGGCCAGGTACCGCAGACGACTCAGGCGCCGGAGGTCCTCCATAAGCGCAGCCCTGAGGGTGACAGGTGAGACTATCTGTCACTCTAGCAGAAGCAGGCCGGGGTGGATGGCAGTCCGACGCACTACGGGGTGAAGAATGAAACATCGTTGTTCCCACTGGGTTCACTGGTTCACATTATATATATATATACTCGTATAAAAGTATATGTATGATATAATTATGAGTATGTTTAAGTGTATTTGTATATATAAATACTTTTGTATTGTGTGTGTTAGTATCATTATTACTTATTGTTTATGTATTATACCTAAATAGTTACTACATCATCATTGATATTAAAATTCAAGTAATAAGTGGTTTATGACAGGAAAAGAATCCGAGGTCTTGTTCTATCATGGGCTTCGGAGGAAGCCACCTTAGGGGTGGTCGGTTCATGTCCGACATAACCACCGGTGGGTGGCATCCGATGGGATTTCCGTACTGACAAACAAAAAAGGTGACCAAATATTGCCATCAATGAAGTGTAAAACACAGTTCTTTTATTTTTGTAGGCGAGTTTTCAACCGTTAAAAACGATTTATTTGGGGCTTAAAACGGCAATATTTTGTTGAAAACGTTTTAAATCGGTTGTTTTACATCTATACCAAAATCTAAATCATGTAAAACTTCCTAAGAATTCAAATATAATATTCTATTTTTTTTAATACTGATTTGTTTCATTTCTGTAAAAAATAAATATTTATTATATGTTTAAACAGTGATAAAAATATTGATAAATCGAACATAAAGTTGATGTTTTTGACATCGATGTTTGCTAAGTTAATGTCGTTAGTTTCCTCTATAATAGATGTCACAGTCAGTGTTAACGAGAATATCTGCTGACTTCATGAATTAGTCGATTAAAAAAAATCGGATTTATTAATATTTTTAAGATTTCTGACTTCAGTGTGTAAATATTGACCTATTAAATACCAATTTGAAAATAAATATACTAAAATATATTTATGAATATTCATTTCTTACACAAAAAGCTTCTTAAAAATTCCATATTTTATCTGTGCATTGCAACGCACTACGCAGTCAGTCCAGCATGAAGTAGGTTAAAAAAAAGGAACTGTCAAACGAATCTGACTCTCGGGCAAATTTATGATACTTTCGTAGTTTAACTGTATATGTTTGTACTAAAAATTATATAAAAATGCCGAAGAATAAAGGAAAAGGAGGTAAAAATAGGAGGAGAGGCAAGAATGAAAACGAGACGGAAAAACGTGAACTGGTCTTCAAAGAAGATGGACAAGAGTACGCCCAAGTCACAAAAATGCTCGGTAATGGCCGCTTGGAGGCCATGTGCTTTGATGGCATAAAACGTCTATGTCATATTCGAGGGAAACTAAGAAAAAAAGTTTGGATAAATCAAGGTGATATAATATTAATAGGCTTGCGAGATTACCAAGATGCAAAAGCTGATGTCATCTTAAAATACACCCCAGACGAAGCAAGGAATTTGAAGACGTATGGAGAATTCCCAGAGACAGTGCGAATCAACGAGACCGTGGTATATGCTGTTGAAGGTCTGGATGAAGATATCGAGTTTGGAGACGAGGTTAGTTCAGAAGACGAAGGTGATCCAGTAGATGCTATATAAATGTTAGCACTATTTATAATACCTATCGTAAGTCTATGTAAATTTGTTTTGCTATTATGAAAACATGACTTTGTGATTTTGTACATTTGGTTCTCAAAATTATTTCGTATACTTACCTAAATTGTAAAATGTCAAACTAATAGACAGTACTTCTCGGTAACATGTAAGTGTTTGTATCACAGTTAGTATATGATTAAACTCATTCTAATTATTTTATTCACTAGTTTATTATATCAACAATAACATGGAAATTTAGTCAAATTATTGTGTAACATTCCTTGAATTAAGGCCATTTGTCATAGAAGAGAAAAAGATAAGGAATGTACATATTACCTACCTATTAAATAATTTTATCATCCCAACTCATGTATCATTTCCTTTACATCCCTTATAATAAGTATTTATAGACATGCACCCTTGAGCATTCTTGGCGCATAGATAATAGTTATTGTTGTTTATGCTATTTATGGCCATAGTGAACAGACTTGAGAAAGCAGTTCATAAAGCAATCATACATAACATTGTTATGTTTTATAACATTTCTATTGTTTGTTCTGGAACTTACTAAAATAAAAAATATATATATATATAGAAAGAAAGAAAGAAAGAAAATACGTTTATTAGTCACAACACAAACACAGCCAAAAAAGGGATTACAGATATAACATTGATATATATATATTTGTCTTAGATACTTTTCAACAACTAGGATAAGCTTTGAATACAAAGAGTACAATTACTATTATTGTGTCTCGGTCACTGTATTAATTATATTGTTGTAGAACATATAATTTTTTGCTAACTCATTTTTTACTTTCAAATTTCACATAAGTATTACTAGTTTTGACTTTAGTATAATTATTATGAAAAGGATTTAAGTACTCACATTGGAGTACTTAAATCCTTTTCATAATAATTTATTTATTGTGATAGGGTGAATTTTATTAAGGTATACTTATGTTAAGTTATTTCTGGCATGCTTCTTATTACGATTTTTATTAATTCTGAATACTCTTACAATTACAAACTTTCTACTCTATGTTAATTATTTCTAATCAATTGATTATAAATACTGGAACATGTATAGTAAACTGACAGATAAAACTTAAATATCTATTTACTTAAGTTTTGTTTGCTAATTAATTGATATGTTTGTATGAAATATTTCATGGTCTTAGTACATTTTCTACAATGTATTTGTATTTTTTATTTTAAACATCTTTCTTACTTATCAATAATAGAATAGTCACAATTAGATCTAACTAGGAAGTGGTGTATTGAAGACCTATTGCAGCTAAAAGGTTTAGTTCCAAGGGTTAACATATTTTTAAAAGTTGTTTATTATTAATTTACAGTTGTATGTAGGTGCCTGTATTTTGTTTGATGCTATTGCTTCTGTTGTGACTCAATATCTATTAATTTCTTCATACTTTTAAGTTTAGCCGAGCTTTTAAGATAGCAGTTAATAAAGAATAATTAGTTAGTTAACTCGCCTAGGTTGATGTTGAGTGGGACATTAAAGTCTATCAATGCTATCAAACAACTCTTCAGTACATTTCTTGTGCGTTTTTTTCTGGCCAGTGGAATCCTGCAGGTGAAATGATGAACTACAAATGGTGCTATGTATAAAATAAGTAGACCATCTCTTTCCATAATTTAAATATTTATAGTATAGTCTATGACATAGCCAAGGCTTAACATACAAGATACAATATATTTAGGATTCCTATGCATTTCATATTTGCCAGATTTGCCTCCGCGCGGCCTGTACTTGTGCCTGGAGGTCCTACACCTTCAGTCGGCGGCGTCACCGTAAAGACGGTGAGGAGGACCGGCTTCAAGAGGAGTACCGAGAGGCGCGGAAAACTCTGAAGTTAGCCATTAGCCGCGTTAAAGAAGTGAAAAGAAAGGAGATGCTGGAGGGTCTCGATCGTGACCCCTGGGCTCGCCCTTATCTCTCCAGGGCAGCTGCCTGCAGGAAGTGGTGGAGGGCCTATTCCCGCAACGGGCGGAACACACACCCCCGTCGATGGCCCCTTCGTCGGAGACGACGGGGAGAACATGGATGATGTTCCACCCGTCCGGGATTCGGAGGTAGGGGCGGTTGTTCTACGAATCCGTTCCAAGAAGACCGTCCCTGGGCCGGACGGGATACCGGCCCGAGTGCTGGCCCTAGCTCTTCACCACATGGCAGACCGTCTCAGGGAGATGTTCGACACTAGCTTGGCGTCCGGACGTTTCCCTGAGTGCTGGAAGAGCGGGAAGCTGGTCCTATTGAGGAAGTCGGGACGGCCTGCCGATTCGGTCGCGGCCTACAGGCCCATCGTATTGCTGAACGAGGTGGATAAACTGTTTGAGAGAATCCTCTCTGCACTCATCGTCCGGCACCTCTGCGAGGTCGGCCCCAATTTGTCGGATGCCCAAATCGGTTTTCGAGCGGGGCGTTCGACGATCGACGCTGTGTCGCGCCCCAGGACCGTGGCCGAAGAGGCGGTGAGCCGAGGCGGCGTGATGTCCAACGACACCGCCAACGCATTGAGCAGTCTGCCATTCAGATGCATCAGGGAAGCACTCCACTATCATGGGGTTACAGAGTACCTGAGGCGGCTAGTGGCAGACTACTTAGAGGAGCGTACCGTCATGTACTAGGACCAAAATGGTGCTTTGAGGCGTCGGCCCATGTGCGGTGTTCCGCAGGGATCTGTTCCCGAACCACTCCTGTGGAACATAGATTACTACTGGACCTTTCGAGGTCGCCTTCCCGCCGGGCTGGGCGTTATTTGTTACGCAGATGACACGCTAGTTACAGTCCTGGGGGCGGACTTTCAAGAGGCTGCGCGCCTAGCCACCAGGGGAGTCTCTCTGGTGGTCAGGCGCTTTGCTTACGGGTGGCCCTGAATAAGACGGAGGCCCTATTGTTTCAAGGTCCCCGTCGTGGTCCGCCCCCCGGCGCCTCCATCGTGGTCGATTCGGTCCTCGTACCGGTTCAGGCCCAGATGAGGTATCTGGGCCTGATTCTTGATGGGAGGTGGCTCTTCGACGAGCACTTCCGACAGCTTGCTTCAAAACTGGTCGGTGCTGCTTCTGCCCTAGGGCGACTTTTGCCCAATTTGGGTGGAGCCAGCGTCACGACAAGACGGCTGTACACGGGGGTTGTCCGGTCAATGGCACTGCACGGCGCACCGGTGTAGGAGGATATTGGCGGTTAGAGCCATACGCGGTTGCCGCACCGTATCGACGAATGCGGCGTGCGTGTTGGCCGGAACACCCCCATGGGATTTGGAGAAGGAAGTATATGGGCGAACGGCTGAGTTCCGGGCGGATAGTGGCATTCGGCTCCTGCCCGAAGAAATACGCGAGTGGCGTGAGGCCGCTCGTCGAGCCACGATGGCTCGTTGGTCGTCCCGGCTGAAGTCTCTACGTGCTGGCTTTGCCGCCATGGAGGCGCTCCAGCCGGTCATCGTGGAGTGGGCAGGGCGACAGCACGGGATCCTTTCCTTCCGACTGACGCAGGTCCTTTCCGGGCACGGCTGTTTCGGGAAGTACCTGCACTCGGTCTCTAGGAGGGAATCGAATCCCGTCTGTCACCACTGCGATGTCAGTGAGGACTCGGCTCAGCATACGCTGGCAATTACCTAAATATACTGCACGGACACTTTTTTGTAGCCATCCGAACTCGGTCGAGTTATGTACGAATTGCGATGGTTGTCAGTATTTTAATTGTATTTCCTTAATAATTGAGTGGAAAGAAATGAAATGTTACATGTGCATATTTGAATTAATGCACTAATTATTGGAATAGGTTATATTACGCATCCTTTAGAATCTCGTGCAACAAAACTGCATTTGAAACAGTGGTCCAATCATAGTAAATTATCCCGTAGCTCATTAATTACTAAGAGTACATCAATGATACTTGGTAAGACATTGTAGATGCTTACAAAGTATGTATAAACGTTATAAACTAGACCCTAGTACATAAGCATTAAGTACTAGGACCTAATAACTTTATTTTACGTTTATATTTATATCTTCTGATTGGTATGGTTTTTTTAACCCATTTACGCCCGCTCTCCTCATTTGGGTCCAATTCTTTAAGTACCCACAGATTTTTACTTTTAAGATCTATTGTTAATTTCCATGCAAATTCCTAATGCCAGAGAGTGTACCTTGTAATTAAAACAAAAAATATTTTAATTTACCGGCTATAGTATAATAGTAGTTGAAATTGTTGTTTTTATTTATTTCATTAACCTCTGCGTGAAAGATAAAGGGTAAGTAATGTTTTTTATATTTACATAGATATAATGTTTTATAGTATTTTTCACTTGCCAATACATTTAACTAATAAACTACGGTATTTAGTTAGGCATCTTTTGAGACCAGACCATGGGTCCAATGGGCTAAATGCTATAATTTTTTGTTTTCTGTTCTTAGGTTTACTTTCGACATAAACAATGACGAAACGATCGACAAATGACAATCAGGGTCTCGAAGAAGCCATTGAAAGCATTTGTAATGAAGAGGATGATAGTAACGTTATTTATGATTAAGTGGCAATTCCTCAAGACCCGAGTATTCTCACGGATGAAGAAGAAGGCGATGAAGACGATATCCAACAAAACATTTTTCCACGCGATATCCCGGAGAGAATTGAAATATTTGAATCCAATAACAACGAGGAATGGGATAGCAGTGATGATGAACCGTGATATAAAAAACAGGCGAGTTGTCTCAAAGGAGCCACGTTGGCGTAAATGTGACGGTTTCTATGTCAGCCTGCCTTCAATAGAAGACAATGTTCAGAAACGAAATGATAATAAAAGAGCTCAAAAACCAAACGCCAGTCGAATTTTTGAAAAGATTTTCGATGGGGAGATCTTTGAAATGATTGTCCAAAACACAAAGTTATTTGCTGCACAGCATAACAACCATGACTTTCAAGTAACTGTTGATGATCTCAAAGTATTTTTCGGCACTCTTCTCTTGACTGGCCACCACTCTTCCACGAGAGCGATTGTACTGGTCTTTAGATGAGGATTGCAATGTTACCATTGTTTCAAAAGCAATGTCAAAAAACAGCTTTGTAGAATTTAAGAAATCCTTACATTTTTGTGACAACGTGGCTGCTACTGGATCAACCGATAAGATTTTCAAAACACGACCCCTTGCGGATTTGCTGATCAAAAAATATCTTCAGTGGGGTGTAGTCCATGAACATCTGTCAATAGATGAGTTAATTTTTTAGGATTATAGTTAGTTATTTAGGACGTCACCCAGCAAAACAGTTTATAAGAAGAAAAACAGTAAGATTTGGGTACAAAAACTGGATGATTGCAAGTGCGGATGGTTATTGTTATGCTGATGTTTATTGCGGCAAATCAGCAGTAGGAACCAGTAATGTACCAGTATTATTATTAATGAGTAGTAGGCCAAACGTTGTCGCAGCGGAAACCTGAATATCTTCGAAGTTTATTGATGTACACATTAAAACAAACACAATTCCGTGAATAACTCCGCAATAGTTGGAGGCACAAATTTTTACTTACCATACACAATTACACGACGTCATACACTAAATATCGGTTAATCTCAAACAATAAAATTCGAACTTTTCGCTGGGGCAACGCACACATGAAATATTATTAAATTATATTATAATTAATAATGAAACTTTCTTACCACTTCAAGGTTACATAAAATTTTAAGTACCTACCTCTGTAATTTCTTTTTAAAACTATTAGGTTGCTTTTTGTAAGTATGGAAACTCCCTCGAGTTGACATCCCTGGGGTAGTGTGTAAAACCACACAGAGTACCATGGTACTCTGTGTGGTTTTGTACTGCTACTGGTACTGGTACTGCGCCTAAATTAGGACGGATCCTGGAATTGAAAACTACCTTATTATACCAATACTCACACCATGTTTAGCTGATTATTTAAGTGGTTTCTCTATTCATTTTGTTAAGATCTTATGTATGTTTTTATAAGAGTTGGTATCTTGTTAACAAATATGTACCTACATATATATTCTATTACCGTATTTTAAATGGTGGCTGACAGAAACATTTTGTCCAAATAAGACAACATAAATTAACATAATAATGTGTTAATATTATATTGCCCTATTTGGACAATTATTATCACCAAAAGAGCCTTATACTATTTTTCAGTAACTAATATTGTTAAGTGAAAAATCTAATTCTACTCATCGATCACTAATCCTTTATCATAAAAATATAGTCATAGTCAGGAAGAAAAGTTAAAAGTTTTTTTGCATATTTAGCAACCTACTGGAAGTCTTCTCTTTATCCTTTTTTTCATTATATAAAGGGGCAAGCGAGCAGACGGGTCACCTGATGGTAAGCAACTACCGCCGCCCATGGACACCTGCAACTCAAAAGTCACAAGTGAGTTGCCACCCTTGGAGTCCCTCCCGCTCGAGTCAGCGCGAGATGGGGATCCTCCTCGTGACTATTGATATTAATGTATTTTGAGACTTGTCTTCTTATTTTTCTTCTTTTAAATATAGTTATAAATGTTCGAGAACTTTCTTACACTAACACTCCTTTCTGTACTCAACTACCTGAACCAATTTTTGGGTGCAAATCTTTCAAAAATTGGGATATTTAAAATGAAGTAACTCCAAAGTATATTGCAGAAACAGGAGTGGACTAAAGTATTCTGTTTTGTCCTATACACTAGGCATGTTCATTAACGCTTTGGTATACAGGGTTTATTGTTTTTCAAGTTTAATGAATAAACATGGTTTGTTTCATGCATGGACGTAAAAAAAAACAGTTGACCAGCTCGGTGTATGTACAGGTCGGGACGCACAATTACACACATTAGTCAGACATTACGCTCGGAAACATGAAGACAGCGAGACGCATTACGCGGCGAAAACATTTAAATATACAAGATGCTTTGCGTATTGAAATGCTGTAAAACCGTACTGACCGAAAGAAAAATAATCCAGGAATCACGTTTCCTGAACCTGAGATTAATGCTAGAAAAACTAACATTATTACAGCTTGGTTTTTTAGTAAACAAATGGGTATTGTGAGGCAGAGAAAGTTCCAGTACCTCGGTAATAACTCTTGTTTCATCTTTGCCATTTGTATGTTGCCGACTACATCCCTCGTCCCACTGACTCCCACAGAACTTTAGTGACCCTACTCGCCAGCATAAAAAAAAAAACTAAGCTACTAACTCTGCTAACTCTGCAATGGAATAAATGGGCAACCCCAAAAAGTTTTTTATATGGTATACTTTTCTGATGTCACTTTCGTAGTACATGAGCTGTCAGATTGCTTACGCTGTTTGTTGTTTTTCATATATTTTAAAGAAAAACCTATTAAAAGTGGAGTGCGCGAGTTATTATATAACATGATAAGTAAATTCCAAGATATGAAGGAACAGCATGATGTCGTCCTTAGCCAAAAACGACTATGTTTACAAGATATCGAAAAGTTGACGTGTAAGTAAATCTACTGATTTTGATACTTCGCCGTTTTATTTTACCATTAGATGTATCTAAGAACATTTTTTTCGAATACTCATAGCCTGTTCATGATGCTGACAAGAAGCTCGTGTCAAGTTAACGTTCCAATTTCAATAACGTATCTATCTATAGATTTGATTCCTGCAGATAGAATTTTAACATTACTTTTATGGGTCTTATGTCACTATTACATAAATTATAGATAGTTAACTCTTAACAAGTATTTATTTTTGGTCATTCCAGGTAGTATAAGTGATGAATTAAAGCCTCATCTTCAAGTTACCCTACAGAAGCTAAAGGTTCCTGAAGAACTTACCATTAATAGTGAGAACCAGTATATAAAAAAGATCGCTTCAATGACTGGTAAGAATCTGTTACTTACGTATTTATTTTCTACAATTTTCGTTACATTATGTAAGTAGGTACAACGTACATTAAATACATATTGCATTCAAAACAAGTTCATATTAAATTTTATAAATAAGTAATTTATATTTTTTTATACAGGAGTCAGCGAACGAACTTTAAGAGTGATTAAAAATGAGGGCCAAAATAATCAAGGAATCTGGAGGACTCCTGGCAAACAGCGTGCAGCACGGGCCACGAAAGTTAAAATTGACAATTTTGACCAATGGCGCATTGGTCAAAATTGTCAATTATTCGAAATACAATAAATCAGTATTATTTGACCCGAAAGGAAGTGCCTACCCTGCGTAAATTACTACTTGAATTGAGGCAATCAATTGATTTCACTGGCTGCAGGAAAACCTTACACAAAATATTATTAAACATGGGTTTTGAATTAAAAAAAATCCTGAAGAACGGACAGTCCTTATGAAAAACATGATGTGGCGTCATGGAAGCATAGATACATAAGAAAAATTTTGTTATTAAGAAACGAGCCTGTAGAAACTGTTGAAGTTATAGGATCTTTCATAATAGAAAATACACATGGAACTTTTCAATAATCTAATAATGTCAAAGTATTTTTACAGAGTGTCAGAAAAACAAAAGAACCTAGTAACCTGACAATAGAAGAATAGGCCACACTCTCAAAGAGGAACTTTACAAAGAACCATAGAGTTTCTATTTCAACATCTTCTCTCTTTGTCAAGTTCAGCCAGTGTTTTCTCTTCCACTGAGCATTCCCATTTTTCCGCACAGCATTGTCAGCCTGGGCCTGAACAGCGGCTTGGTCATCATGTCAGCCAACTGCATCTCTGACGAAACTTTCTCCACTTTCAGCACGCCGTCCGTTACAGCTTCCCTTATGAAGAAGTGACGAATCCTGATGTGTTTTGTTCGGCTATGAAACTCGTAAGGCGGGTTTCTAGCTAACTTAATTACAGACTCGTTATCCACATACAGCACGGGTATATCATCTGTGTGTTGAATACTAGCCATTAAAACTTTCAGCCACATTATTTCCCGAGCCGTCTCACTCGCAGCAACAACTTCTGCCTCGGTACTTGATATAGCAACAGACGCCTGTCTGTGGCTTTTCCAGGCAATTATCCCTCCAGCGTACATGCAAACCATTCCTGATGTGGACCTGCCTGTTTCTAAGTCCCCACCGTGGTCTGAATCACTGAAACACATTCGTTTTTTATCAGAGTTTCTTCTGTAAGTCAATCCCCAGTTCGTAGTTCCTTTCAAATACCTCAGGATTCTTTTCACTTTAGTAACATCTTGATTCGATGGGTTATCTAACTTTCTAGAAGCAACTCTAACAGCATAGGCAATGTCGGGCCTGGTTCCGACCATGAGATAAGCCAGAGCACCTACTGCTTGTCTGTATGGGAAATTAGATATTCTTTCAATCTCTTCTGTTTCCGTAATCGTATCTTTGATAATTGGTGTTCCAACCGGCTTACACTCATCCATCCCAAATCGCTCCAATATTTTCTTTGTGTAGGCAGTCTGATTCAACTCAATCGATCCATCTACTCTTCTTGTTATTTCTAAACCAAGGTAGTAATTTGCAGGCTTCGATTTAATCTTGAACCTTTCTTTCAGCTCACACAAGAACTTTTCTAATTCTTGTTTATGAGTAGATGCAAGCAGACCATCATCCACGTAAAGAGCCAGTATCAGCTTCTTCTCTTCTCTCTTCCTTACGAAGAGGCATGGATCTGCTTCACTCTTCTTAAATCCAACTTTCACTAGAAAGTCTTGCATGCAATTATTCCAGCATCTAGGGGCTTGTTTAAGTCCATAAAGGCTCCTCGTTAACTTGCATACTAAGTTTGGTTGATCGTTATACCCTTCTGGTGATCTCATGAAAATCTCCTCTCTAAGACTTCCGTATAAGAAAGCGGTGGATACATCGAATTGCATCAAATAATAATAATAATAATAACTTTATTGAACTTCAATTCCTTTGTTACAATTATACAATCAAAATGCATATTTTCTCGTGCAGCCACACTTAGGATAGTCCTAATCGTACTCATTTTCGCTACAGGGCTGAAGGTTTCGAAATAGTCCACACCCTTCTTTTGAGAATACCCTTTTATTACAAGTCGCGCTTTATAACGTTCTATGCTTCCATCTGGATTTGTCTTTACTTTGTAAATCCATTTACATGGTATAGCCTTTCTTCCCTTAGGTAAAGGTACCATTTCCCAAGTTTCGTTTTCTTTCAACGACTTCATTTCATCATCCATAGCTATTTTCCACTTTTCCTTATCTTTGGATTTCATAGCTTCTCTGAATGATTGAGGTTCTTTTACATCACTCAACTCTGCAACTGTCATCATCACAAAATCATCAAATTTTTGAGGTGCTCTCAACGTTGAACGATCTCTTAGTCTCATACCTTGCTCTTCCTCTGGTTCTGCATTTGGATCCTTCTCTATTTCTGGTTCTACCTCTTGCTGCAACTCTGGTAAGACTTCTTCATTTTCAACCTCACTTTCTATATGTTCAGAGCCACAATCTTCGAATCTTTCATCATCACTGGGCTCTGCTCCATCATTAACTCGATCAGCTGTATCTGGTTTTACAAATTTAACTATCGCTTCTGGGATTTCTATTTTACCGATAAGACTTCGTCTCATCCTTAGACTTCAAAGGCTTTTCTTCAAACGTTACATCTCTGGATCGAACTATTTTGTTCTTCTCTTTAACCCAAATTCTATAACCCTCGTCATTATCGTAACCGACCAGCACACCTTTTATTCTTTCTTGTCCAGCTTCTTTCTCGTTATTTTAGGAACGTGTGCATAGCAAATACTACCAATTACTCTCAAATGCTTAATCCTGGGCTTCTTGTTGTACCAAATCTCGTACGGTGACTTGTCTAGTGGAGTAGGGCCCGTTCTATTCAGTATGTACACTGCGGTATCCACTAACTCAGCCCATAGACTTTCAGGTAAGTCATTTGCATGCATCATCGTTCTCATTGCTTCCACAGCGGTTCTATTATCTCTTTCTACGCATCCGTTTTGGTTTGGCGTGTATGGCATTGTCAATCTTTGCTTTATGCCATACGACTCCAATATTCTTCTTACATTTCCGTTATCAAATTCTCCTCCATTATCACTAAATAGCTCTCTTACTGTATGTCCTGCAGTCTTTGCTTCAGCTAACATCACTTCAAGCTTCTTATGAACTTCTGATTTCTCTCTCAGAAAGTAGATATAGCGGAATTTGCTGAAATCATCTTTGAAGAGTACAAAATACTTGTATTTGGATAAAGAGTTGGTGAACGGCCCGCATATATCTACATGTATTAGCTCTCCTGGTTCAGAAGCTCTTTCTCTTGTTCCAAATTTCAACTTATGTGCCTTACCATATACACAACCCTCACATAGTTCTTTGTCTAGCTTCATCTTAATGCCAAGTTCTCTCTCAATCACCTTCTTCACATGTGATTTGCTCTGATGAGCCAACCTCTCGTGGTAAAGCTGCAACTGATCCTCTTTTGAAATGTTGTTGACTTCATTTGGACACTCAGATCTGATATTTCTGACTTTCAGCTTAAAAAGACCTCCATCTTTTTTTCTTTCTCCAATGAGTAACACTTTTCCATGCTGTAACAGTTTGCATTCTTCGGTTGTAGACATGAAAAGGCTGTTTGACATCTTATCTTGAGCTGACAGTACTGAAAATAGGTTTTTCTGTATTGTAGGCACATACTATACATCATAAAGTGCTATCTGTTCATTACGACCTTTTACATCAGCTTCTATGTATACAATTCCTTTCCCAACTGCCTTGATTGTATCTCCATTAGCTGTCGTAACGGTGTGTGAAGTGTGAAACCTCTCAAATGTCTGGAATAGATCGTCCCTGTTCGTGACGTGGCTTGTAGCTCCGTTGTCCACATACTAGTGATCTTTATCAGCAGAATCATTTGGATTCACTGCCATAATATGCATATTCACACTAGTAGGTCCTTTTGACTTAGATGTTAATGGTTTTGGCTTAGGTGGTCGTCCATCGGATATCCATTTAGAGCATCCTCTTATTCTGTGACCGACCATGCCACAATAGTGACATTTCTCTGTGCTCGCTTCCACCTTACTCTTCTCATAATTCTTACTCACTTTACTCTTCTTATTTGTCGTAACTTTGCTGTCTCTCTCTACTACTAGTGCTTCTATCTTCTCTTTATACTTACTCGATAAAGCTCTTTCGTGGTTACTTAACTGAGTTGTTAGGTTTTCTACAGTCCTGTCTTCTTTTGACATCATCATCCAGCTTGACTTAAACGAGAAGTACTCTTCAGGTAAAGTATCCAGTATCTTACAAATTAGGAATAGTTCTGGCAGCTCTTCTTTCAGGTGTTCCTTCTGGAGTTCCCTGGTAAGTTCTGACCAGATATTTTTCAATTTGCTGACATGTGCTGACACGTCACCACCAGATTGCATCTTATAACTAAAGAACTTCATGCATATGTCGTAGGCTTTGCTTTCTGATATACCATCATACAGGCGATGTAATTCCAGCCATACATCTCTTGCAGTAGAATACCTCGTGACTTTTTCGCAGTTTTCTTGTGACAAATTCGTTGAGATGAGTAGCAAGGCTGCGCTATCTGCTGACACATACTTTTGCTCTTGTTCTTCATACTTTTTTACATCTGCAGCTGTTGCATCCACTTTTAGTTTCTCGGGCGGCACTAACTTGCCCTCAACTACATCTTGGATCTTCAAACCTCGCAGCGCAATCATTATTTTGAATTTCCATGTTGCCCAGTTCGATTCAACAAGTGCTCCTACGTGAATCTTCGCTGCATCAACGATTGAATTTTGCATCTTGAGCTCTCGAACTATCAACACGTAATTTCTATCTGAATTTTATTTCCCGTAACCACGCTCTGCTACCATGTTGAAGTTATAGGATCTTTTATAATAGAAAATACACATGGAACTTTTCAATAATCTAATAATGTCAAAGTATTTTTACAGAGTGTCAGAAAAACAAAAGAACCTAGTAACCTGACAATAGAAGAAAAGGCCACACTCTCAAAGAGGAACTTTACAAAGAACCATAGAGTTTCTATTTCAACAGAAACGAGAAAACCTATTGTGTATCTTGATGAAACCTATGTGCACTTGAATTATAAATCCAAAAAAAGTTGGCAAGGACCATCTACCTCCAAAATGGTGGAGATAATCTCACTTTTGAGATGCAAACGGTTTATTATAGTTCATGCTGGGACAGAAAATGGGTTTGTAAATAATGCGTTACTTGTGTTTAGTACAAAATCGAAGCACGAGATTACCATGATGACATGAATGCTGAAAATTTCACAAAATGGGTGTCTGAAAAATTACTGCCCAATCTTGAGTCACCGAGTGTTATTGTTTGCGACAATGCTAGCTACCATAGTATACAAATAAATAGGCCACCAAATACCAATTCAAGAAAACAAGAAATTAGAGACTGGCTGACTAGTAATAATATTACATGGTCAGACGAGTTCACAAAAATAGAACTGCTTTGTTTGGTGAAAAGGAACAAACCTGATCCAATATACTTCATAGATGAATTGTTAAAAGAACAAGGCCACGAAGTTTTGAGATTGCGACCGTATCATTGCCACTTAAACCCCATTGAGCTGGTATGGAGCCAAGTAAAAAGAAAAATTGCCGAAAAAAATGTTAAAAGCACACCGGAAGAAATGATAAAAAAAATTGAAGAAGTATTTGCATCGGTTACAGCGGATGATTGTAAAAAATATGCTGGACATGTGAAACCGTTAGAAGAGGAGCACAAAATAAAAGACAGGTTACTGGATGATGCTATTCCATTTATAATATACCCTACAAGAATCTGACAGCGATGATAGTAATATAGATGATGAGCCCGTTGAATTTGAAGGCATTGAATATTTAGACTCTGATTCTGATGAATGATTGTGTTTGCTATTCATTTGTAAATATAACACGAAATAACATAACAAAAATAAATAAATGATGTTTAACATTCAAAAATCTATCGTTATTTTTATATTGTCCTTGAGTAGTTTTAGAGGTCTCCTTAAAGTATAGGCTAAAGTATTATTAATGTGTAGATAAACAATAGCCAGAGTAGATTTTAAAAAGTTAGGATCCAGAATTATTATAACCTGTATCGTACCTACTTATGCTCTATCTCAAAAACTGTATCAAGTCTACAATGCATCGTGCTGAAGTCATTTCAACTTCATTTCTTCATTTCAACTATTCTTTACCAAGAAAAGATCAGAATATAAACAAAATAACTTGGCTAAAATTAAACAACTAGTATCAAATTAGTTTTTCGTAGTATATACGGTGTTACCATCCATAGATTTTCAAATTCCATAATTTTCTTACTTCTGCAGAGTTATCGTGGCCAGACTCTAGCTGCTGCAGTAACGAGGTAGGTAACGATGTTCACTTACGAACACTTATAGCGAGAGCATAGAAAGATGCTCCATACGCTGGCAGAATGCGCAGCGTGGGTGGAGCAGAGGTGTGACTTTGTGACGGCTATCGGAGTGCGCATTCTCTGGCACGGTACCATGATTGCAGTCATGGTACGAAGCGAGAGCCCGTGGAACGCCGCCAACTTCTTCTGCGAGCAAGTTAGATAGGTTCGCTAAGGAGTGGGCAGATTGGAACTGGGAGAGGTTTAGAACTCTCCAGGTCCGCTGGACCTGGAAGAGTTTTTGGCCTGGACCTGGATCTGTCCTCTGAAGTCAGTCTTAACTTGGCTCTTACATCATCAACCTTCAAATGATAGCTATATCATTAACACAGTTAATAGATAGAGTTGCCAGGAGTTTATTAATGTGTTGAGGGAGATCTGTTTAGAGCAGGGATACCTAAACAATTTTGGGCAAGATACCCCTTTTCCAAAATGAACTGACACTGCAGACCCCCATAGCCAAACTGCAAATGCTACATCTAGTTTTTTCCTATTGATACAAAATGTTTAGCAATTTAAAAACTGCAGTTGGTTAAGTGTACTCACTTAAGGTTAAGGTTAGTAACTTGACATCATTTTCTTAAGTAGCAGTAAATATCGAGTGTAATTAATAATTTTAGTACAAATAACGTTACAGTAGGTACACGTAAAATTGTAAACGTTACAAAGCATTAGTACACACAACTTATACAGTATCTTAAAAGTTTCAAATAAGAACTAGTGTTAATTAATTGGGAATCCATGGTTTAGAGTGTGGGCAGCGCTATTTTTATAGACACAATAGTGGCTACAACAGCAGCTGTCAGTTGTTTATGAATCTCTGTTGGCTAATAACTTTCTGTGGGGAAAATAAGTAGTAAACTTCTTCTAAATAATAATATTTGTTTTTTCATACGATGAAGTAAATACTTAGAATATAATATTCCTTATTGTACACCAATTACAATATGTTAGATAAATATATGTTAGTAATCGCCATTTTTGCTAAAAGCAATCTTTTACAGGCAACCTTTGGATCGACATATCGACAGTACATGAGAAGAAACGATGGGTAGAGACGATACGACGTAAACGATGAGAAGAAACTATGGTCCTTTCTTCAAAAGCCCTACCCAGACCCTACACTGTACTCGCACTGTTTTCTTTAACTTTGTTTACGGACTAAAAAAAAGACACCTCTGTTGTTTGTTTCGCCGTTTCTTCCCAGAGTGAGTCTTAGGAAGTGCCGGCTCCATCTAGCTGTAAAGTCCGACTTATAAAAATATCTTTACTTTACTCTTATTATTATATTATCTTTAATTTACTTACAAAAAGATATATCATTTCATCATTTCCAAGATAAAGTAAACAAGATTTCTCTCTCTAAAGTTTTAGATAGTGACGGTATACTAACAAATCTGCAGTTATGACTATTGGCTGACTTGAAACTGTCCACATCACTATCATTGTTTGTACTTGACATAATAACTTTGTTATTATGTCAAGTACAAACATATATAAAACAATTTACAAAATATAAAATATTCTGATATTTTTAAAGATCAGATGGCATAGTGGTTTGTGTTACGAACTGCTATTCCAAAGGTTGCGGGTTCGATTCCCGCTCAAGTCAAACATTTCTGTGCATGAACATTTAATGTTTGATTTGGTCTGGGTGTTTCTATGTATAATAAGTATGTATTTACAAAAAAAAAGGATATATATATTTATATCAGTTGTCTAGTACCCATAGTACAAGCTCTGCTTAGTTTGGGACTATATGGCGTTGAGTGAATGTGGTAATATATTTCAATTAAAAATTTAAATGTTTACGCATCGCCTCGTTAACTGCCTATGTGACCCTACACATTAGATGTTTCATGTTCAAAATTAACAAAAAAAACTAATTCACCAGACCATTAGACCAGACCGAAATTGTATAGTCCCATCTACAATCGAGAAATTTTAAACACAGACGCTTTATTTAAATCCGAAGACTCTGCGATACATTTATACAGATGAAGTTTTTTTATCTTTAGTCTTATAAAATTAAAAGATTTCATTCAGCACAATACATTTTCATCTTATCGAATTCTGATTTCGGGTTGCGTATTACGTGTTTCTAGACAAAATGATAATAGTATCATTTTGTCTTTGAATCATTGTCATCTTTGAATCTTTGTCATTGAATCAAATAGTTGATTCAATTCAAGACGCGAAGCTTGTCTTGAGTTGTATCGAGTTTTAATAATATATTTCCAGCTTTATGCTATCACACACTCTAGTCTATACTCTATAGATCAACCATAGAGGTAGTATTTTGAAGTTGCCAGTGAGCTCTCCATCAGCCATATTGAATTTTGTTGTGCTACGAAAACATTGTGAGCACGTGGATTGTTGGATAAAATTTAGTGAAATTTGGCAGTATTATCAGTTAACTATTACTTTTGGCTTATACGCGTTTTTAATGAAAAGTGGAAACATATATTATTCGATATCTAAGTAAGTATCATTACATTTAAGTAGCCGGCTATATGATTCCACATTTAGATCGTGAAGCATGTGTACATGCAAGCTTCCTATGTGGAGGTTTAAATAGTATCAAAATAAATAATTTAATATTCACATATTGAAATAATACTCAGTAAACAATAATTTCAAAGATGTTGACATAATTTTAATTGCGTAACCTTTCATTTATGGTTCCACATTTGCTTACGTGTTGCTCGTGAAGGTTTCTATAAATTGCTCGTGACCCTCACCGGACAACATTTCTAAAAACTGACGTTCTGAAAAAGATCAGTGCCACATGATTGTGAAGGTATTATTAGCGTTGTCCCGAAAGCAGGTAGGTAGTTAGTAAAGCGTGTTAATAACTGTATATAATAAAGAATCTAGCCGCGATTTGAATTGAAAGTCCAACTATTGCTCTATTTTTGTTATCGGGCCCGGTGCTTTCGTTTTAACGCTATTGAAACGTGGATATGAGGTTGATTAAACCATTTTTTTTTGTACTATTATGGTAATTGTGTTCTAGTTGAATAGTAAATAAACACGAGGGATAATAACCTATTTATTTATATGTACATACAGGATACAAAATCAAAATGTTTATCTTTGTATACCTACGTTAATGTATTTAGTTATCTAAATGTCAATGATAAAAATAATAAAATAAATAAATATAACTAATACTTACAAAAGTATGTCATGCTTATCTTTAATCAATTTTAAATATGGTGTTTGCAAATTTTTATTACAATTTTTAGTTAGAATCTGTTGTTTGAATTTGAATGCAAACACACACAAGGCATAAGTATATATTTATTAGTTTATGTAATTAAGGTTATGTATTGTTAGAATTACAGCACCTTTTTTTTGTATACTTACCAAGACAGTTCTTGCCTGCTGCATATTACCACAAAACCAAGTATATGACTATTATGATAATAAACAAGAGTTGTAAGATCAGCATTACATGAAAAGGTTACAGTGAAAGTGCCACAGCAGTTTATACTCAGTAGAACATATTAACATTTTTTAGTAGAAATTTTAATTACTTTTAGAAATGAAAAAAGTGAAGGAGGTTGAAGATTATTAACTACATTTTTTCTTTTAGATTGTTCTTTTAAAAGTGGCTAATCACAATGGCCCCTTGTCGTCAACTTCTTATGTGGTCAGTACCATCCATAGCTGTTCTATTGGGAATATTCTGGTTCAGAAAAAAAAGAGAATATGCAAAATCTGACCCAGGTGGAAGAGAAAAAATTAAAAGTTTGAAAGAGGAACTTGCAGAAGCACTAAATGCTCAGGCCGAAGCTAAAAGAATTTCTCCACTGGGCAAGGCAGAGAGATCCATTATTAAATCTGCCCCCATAGACATTATTCCAAACGGAAGCAATTCACAAAGATCTTCACCATTAGAATTGACAGATGAAGAAGTTGACTTAGAAATTGAAAAAATTATTAGGAAAAAGTCTATTGAAAAAGAGAAAAGGATGTCAGCTGGTTTTGACAAATTTTGTTCCCTGAGCTTGAGCTCTAAAGAACCAGTTAATGAGCCATATGTTGTATGCTCCACCCTTCCAACTGTGATCAGTGGCTTTGCAAAGAACTCTAACCTATCACCAAATAAAACTATTAAGATCAGTGATGACATTGTCAATGCTCAGGAAATGCCTAGCAATTCACAGGTAGAAGGTGTGCAGCAAGATAGTACAATAGTAGAAACATCTGTTCTTGAAATTAATAAAATTGAAGACACTAACAAAGTTGATGCAGAAGATTTAAATAAAAATATTATTAATATAGATGATGAACATAGAGATAACAATGAAAATGAAAACACATTTTCTACAGCACAAAACAGATGTATCTCTGAAAGAGATTCTGCAAATCATAGTCCTATAGACCCCCTGCTAGCTAGTCCATCGATGTGCCACTTTTCAGATAACCACAGTGAGGTAATATTTTTTCCATTAAAATATCAATAGTCCCCATCAACAGCCTATACTAGTCCACTGCTGGACATAGGCCTCTCCTTAGAAAGGAGGTTTTGGCCTACTAGTCTAATAGTCCCCAATTTAGTATAAATGTGTATTTGTGTATATATATATATGTATATTGACTAGTATGGTGTAGACTAGTATAGTAGAATCGACTATCCATGTTGTGACAGATCAAGAATACAGAGAGTCACCACCCACCCCTATTCATCCATTGGCTATCTTTAAAACTGACTAATGGAGCATACTACGCAGTAAAGAGAAGGAGAACTCGAAACAAACCTTATACCAACTGTCTGGCCAGTATGGAACAGTAGGCCAAAACCTCTTTTCTAAGGAGAGCCCTATGTTCAGTCAGTAGACTACTAAACGCTGCAGAGTTGTATACTTAGCCAAAATTTTTTTCAGGGCTCAAGTGATAGTGGTAAAGGATGTTCTGAAGCAGCTAGTCCTCCACCAGCAAACATGAACATGGTTCCTTCTGAAAGTGCACTTAGAATACATCAATTTGTCATATCACAGAGTCTTGTAGGACTTTTAATAGGCAAACATGGATCATTTGTTACACAAATTAAAGCCAAAACAGGTGCAAGTGTATATGTTCGTAGACATCCAGATTCGGTCAAACAAAAAATATGTGCAGTGGAAGGTATGAATAATAGTAATTTTCTTTTTATTTACAAGAAGTTAATATTAGAAGTAGTTTACACTTTGACTTTTATAATTTTAGGAACTCAAAGTGAAATAGAAGCAGCTTTAGAAATGATTAAAGAAAAGTTCCCAGAAAAGAAGTTCCCCAACTTTTCCTTACAAGAAATTAGTGCTGAATTATATCAAAGATTGGTACCATTAGTGCCAGAATTTCTACAAGTAAGTTATTTTCATTACAGGTTTTTTTTTTATTTAATCTAATGTCATGTTAGGTTCTGTTTTATCCTCTTCTGTGAAGTGTAAAAGAAGAAATCTTAAGATGTTGTTTAGCTATTAGAGCACTTGCTGATACCAAGTTCTCTTTTGGGGAACTCTCACAGAAGTTTTGTTTGTCAGTCCAGATCAGGGATTCCCTATCTATTTTAGGCAAGAGGCCCGTTTCCAAAATGAATTGATACCTCAGACCCTAGACAAATTACTTTAAAATCCTATCTCTAGTTTTTTCCTATTAATACAAAATACTTAGTTAAGTGTGTAAACTTCACATCATTTTCTCATCAAACTTAAGACAAATTACGTAAAAATACTTAAGCAGGCAATTTAAAAAAAAAAATGAAAATCGCAAAGTAAAGATAAAAAATAAAAAATCAGTGTGGTGACTTTTTGCCAATTTAACTAAATCTGGTTCAATTTTGGTGAGTTGCAGCCTTAAATCTCCCTGTCGGTTAATTATTTCTCAAAATGTTCGTTACCTTTTTCTCCCCTCTTTAACACTGAAGCCGTTTTCAACGACTAGCTATGATGACGGAAAAGCGATAGGGTATTTTTCAGCAATTTTCCAAATTGAGGATACTGCATTTCAATGTTGCACTGCAAGCAGAACTTCTGATAGCCTTGGTTTCATAAGCTCCTCGTCTGTGCCGATAGTGATAACCTCTTCTTGCATTATCACATTCGTTTGGCCGTGATATTTCACGGCTTTATTATCCATTGAGGAACATGTAAATTTAAGAGATCCTCACAGCTCATAGTAAAATTCTTGTGTAATGGATCCAAGTGAGTAACATATAATAAAATAACATCGTCTCGAAGCCAAATAAATGCCGAAACTGAATATTATTTTCTGATTAAATTTTGTTTATAAAGCATAAATGTACCCACAAAGGACGATATTTTAGATTTTGTATTAATCGAGTTGAGATCGTCATCCTACATCTGGTATATAACTTTGTTAAACATGAAAAAGAGATCAGTCAAGTAATAAATATGTTTTACAATTGTTCAGATTTTCTTACAAATTCGGATCTTTTCCTTGTAAAAACTCCAACGCAGATTCAAAAATACCTGAAAATCTTGATTAGCAAGAGCCTCTTAATAGCCAGCGAATTTTATTGTGCAGAAGTAACCGAGTAATAACTTTCGTAATAACGTCGTTTTCTTCACATAGCTGAGCAAATAGCAAACGAATTTAAAAACGCAAAGTGCAAGCTTTTGAATTTAAACATCATCAAGATTTCGTTCGTGATAAATTGTGTCAAATACAGAGCAAGTCAAACCGTGCCTGAAAGACTTGAACGCTCGAACTTATTCTCTTGCACGAACTTGCCCACGCCCATGTCTTGCTGAGTTTTTCATCTTGTATAAACTTGTGCACGCTTATCGACTTGAGTTTTTTAAAAGTACATCAATTATTATAATTATTAAAATTTATTCTTATGTACACAATATAAACATTAACAAAAAACTACATAAAGGAGTAGTGTGTGTGTACAAAGGCGAGCTTAATCCATAATTGAGTTCTCTTCCAGTAAACCTATGAGGGAACAGAGGACATCACAACAAGAGAGAGTCTTGTGTACAGAGAAATTTAAGAAAATAGAGATATACAACTTAATAAATACAGAAATATAAACCCAAATATCATGTAAATAAACTATAACAAAAAATGTGTTTACAGATTACATTACCGTATTAACCATATATATATATAAATACCTATATACATACTTAAATTAGCCTGTAACTTCCTACTAAAATATGAGAATTATAACAAATTGGAATATGTAACACAACTTCTAGAGTATCTTGAAAATTTCAAATAAGAATTTGCGTTAATAAATGGGCGTCGATTTTTAGACCCCCGAAATCAATTTTCATTCATGTCGACCCCCTGGGAAACCGATTTCGACCCCAAGGGGAGGATATCGACCATTTTGGGAATCCCTGGTCCATATAACAATGCTCATGCTTTCTCAAAGGAGAAACAACCCATCATTTATCTCTGAATAAACAATGAATGTACATCTGGTATATGATTACTGATAGGTAAAGGGATGAAAAAATTATTAGATTGTTTAATATTATTATTTACTATCACTTTTTATGAACACTGTATGCTTAATATATTTGTTGCAGCTTGTTGAATCGGTAAATAATGACACAATAATGACATGCTTGGTGAGCGCTGGACATTTCTTCCTACAACAACCACTACATCCGACCTTCCCATCGCTGCATGCATTACATCGTCTCATGGCAGCCACATATCAAAACCCTGAAGTACCATCACTGCCAAGTCCAGTGAAAGGTAACATATCCTGTTGGTTTATAGTACTAGGCTCACTATATAAATTATTATACACTAGGCTATATACTCGTGAAATTCTTAATCATCTTGCAGCTACTTTATCAGCTCATAACCCACAAGTATTGTTGAATAAAAAAGATTATAACTGACAAATAAGATTCAAGTGCAGTGATGGTGCACTCGAATCTCATTTGTCTTCTCACTTGCCGCTTCTTATCGCGCTGAGTGTTGTAACACTATGATCCACAAATTGTTGTTTTGAGTCTGGATGTATTTGTGCCCCTTTCATTAATGTTTTAGTCTCCTGCGACACAATATATTTTTGCAGTGCAAGAGTTTATTTAAAAGAAAAAAGAAATAACCAAACAAATCTTCAACCTTTTTAATTTCCATCAAACTGTATTTCATATAAAGAGATCTACTTTAAATAAAATATTGTTATCCATTTACAGAGGGTTCAATTTGTGCTGCCCCCACTGAAAATAACTGGTATCGTGCTCAAGTGATGTCAACGTCGGAGGAGAATGAGACATCTGTTGTCAAACTAGTGGACTTTGGAGGATACCTCACAGTGGATAATGATCAACTAAAACAAATCCGCTCTGACTTTATGACATTACCTTTTCAGGCTACAGAAGCCATGCTAGCTTTCGTAAAACCAGCAAATAATGGTGAGTTTAATAAGTTAATGTTATAAAATATTTGCATCGCATTTCGCTATTACTGCATTTTATTATACTAGGATCAATATTTAGTCATCATGTGTGGTATCCCGCCTTGACTCGTAACGGTACCCGCAACTTGTGTCGTTTATAACAATAGATACCATGAACAACTTCCCCAAATGAAAAATGGAGCTACCATCATTAGTCGTCAGATTCATAAACTGACTTCTTCCAATACATAGATCTGCGAATGGACATCATAGTTTTTAGCGATTTCGTTGTTCGTAAATAAGAATTATGCCTGTGATAATAAAATCCATTATGGGAATTATTTACACACACGATTTTTCAATTATTTTTTTATGGTATAAGGGGGCAATCGAGCAGACGGGTCACCTGATGGTAAGCCACTACCGCCGCCTATGGACACCTGCAACTCAAAAGTCACAAGTGCGTTGCTGCCCTTGTAGTCCCTCCCGCTCGAGTCAGCGGGAGGGGGGATTTAGGCTCCGGTAACCTCAATGGCAACGAAAGAATTGCTTAACACCGGTTTTCTGTGAGGCTGTATCACTCCGGTCGAGCCGGACCATTCTTGCCGAAGCATGGCTCTGTCACGGTAAAATCACGCAGTGATCAACCAATGAGTCAGTAAAATTTTACTAAGGCATCTGATATGATATTTCCCACGGAGCAAAAATACAAAGAGAGAGGGGGTGTTAAGCTCCTCCCACTTCACTTTCACCGCAACGTTCTATTTCGATGTTGCTATTTAGTTTAGCTATCTCACACAAGTGTAGGATGTAAGGGTAAATTTCGGAACCAACTCGATACTGACATCTATGGCAAGAACCTTACTCTCATATTATAACGCTTTAAACTCCCTGATATTATAAAAGTGAAAGTTTTTGATCTTTCATTAGCGTTGACTTTCGTACTGTGTATGTGTTTATATTTCACGCTGAAACGGCTGGACGGATTTGAATAAAATTTGTTATACACATAGATTATGACCTGGATTAACTCATAGGCGCTGCGTATTGCTAGTGTGAGAATAAAAACTTTTGTGGTAAATTACTAATAACGATTAAAATAAGCTCTCTTATTTATTCTTATTTTATCTGTATTTATGTGTACGGCTTATCTTATTGTCACACCACTACGGAGATAAAGAGTGTTATGATTTTCACCCATAGTTAAGTAATAATAAAAGCTTCACACATTAAAACAAATTAAAATATTTTATTTCAAATTAGGCATCTGAATGCACTTTTAAACGCCAAACTGAGTAAAAAGAATTAATGAAAAAAATTAATAAGCGAGAAATAACCAAAGCTTAAAATAACTCAAACAACTAAGCTTATAAAACATGTCTTGCAGTTAAAATCTACATTGAAAATTGTACATAAAGTATTTACTTTCAAAGTGACTTTATTTTATGTGGTAAAAATCATAAATGAAGATTTATTCCTCCATCGAAAATTATTTTCACCAAAGCTCTAGAAAAAGCTCTCGAAATGGTATAAAAGTGGGTAGACTTTGCTGTCCTTAGAGAGTGTGATTGTATAAGTAATTATTCGGCTTAATTAGTATCTTTTTACAATAGTGCAGATTCCTATATAAAATAAATTAAAAAATAAAATGCAGCCTGAATTGTCCTCCGTTATTAATTTAATGTTATTATTGTTTTAATAAATATCGTCAAATCAACATTGAATATAAATTTGACAATAGCTAGGTCTGACGTGGTATTTCATACAAAATGTACCTTGCCAGTCAACCACCCCAATACCGATTTTTTAAACATAGTAAGATTTTTAAACATAGTTCCAACAAAATCGGAACCTAATTCATTAGTTTTAGTATTATTATATATCTATTTTTAAATTAATGTTTAGACATTATCGATTTTATTCGTTGTGTTATATGTACCATGTATTTTTTTCTAGAATCGGAATGGAGTGGTGAAGCCCTTCGTATTATGGCAGGCCTGACAGCAGGTCAACTGTTACACGCTCAAGTAGCTGGCTACGATGAAGCCGGCCTTCCGCTTGTCCATCTCTACCTCACACTCCATCCACAGGTGAGTTGTGTGCCATCCATACTTCCATGTTTATATAAAAAATGTGAGTGATTTTGTTTGTTTGTTACGCGTTCATGCTTAAACCAATAAGCCGATTTTAAAAGAAAATATGGAAAGCTGCATTATCAGCGTGTAACATTGGCTAGTCTTTACAGCGATAATCGACATACACGGGGGCGGAGCCGCGTGTTAAAACTAATTATTAAATAATGTAGAAAATATCAATATGTACTTAGTTATTCATTACATATCAATTTCAGCAAGTAATATTCCTGAACCGAGAGCTAGTTGACCGCGGCTTGGCAGAGTGGGACATTCCGGCGGAGTCGTGAGTGCGGTGCGTATGGACTGGCAAAGAACGTTACGCCAGCCGGCTCCACTACTTAATACGTTAAATAAATTACTATAATGACGCTGAATAGTTTAATGGTATTGCATTTTGTTTGACACAATGTACATATTTTTACATTCAAGACTCAATACCTTTTGCTGGCTACTATAGTGAAAGAGGTTTCAGTTCTCACGTTTAGCGTGACAATTGCGTAGTTTTCCCGCTACCTACTAAACAAATGTTTACGAGATAGCCATGTGCTCTTTTTTTAAGGGTATTAGCTGACGTGTCATGACAAAATATCTGAATATAAAATTTTGGGTGAAAGTCGCAATTGTTACGCTAAAACGAACATACCGTATGTCTCTTGCCGTGAGTTTGTTTACTTTCTCTCACTTTTTATGTATATGACTTGTGACACGTAGCTTATAAATTAATAAACGTTTCCTTTCTAATACTTATTTCTCTTCTCAATCTTGTATTAGTTTTTAGACAGGGCTTTGAACTGTTTATGTTATAGAAATTTACAGTATGTGCTAAACTAGGTATTTTTAGATACACCATTTATCTAAACTAACCACGACAGGTACATAGAAAATACAATACGCTTAAAAGAAAACTATATAATTCGTAAAATGTATGCGAAAATGTTTTGTAGTTAAATTTAAGGTCACTCTTTATTGGATATACCTTTTCTGAAGGTAAATGCTCCTAAGATTATAAGACTAATAAAATAGTGAGGTCAATGAGAAGTTCAGGATGCTCATTATAAAAATACTAGAATGCCTTGTGCATTTTACAATTATAGCAACATTTATGGTGAGAGATTCATTTAAGCTGTTTCTATGAGCGTGTTTATTCAATTATTAAACTTACAATATCTCTAACGGATTTTGGGCTATATGCTACATTAATGTGCCTTTAAAAAATTCTGCAGCTAAACTTCCTTCATTTACTTTAAAGTATTCGTAAAATATTGTTGTCACAAGCGAGTATATTTTGGTGAACATCGTTTTTAATTAGCAGGTGATTGGGTGTGACAAAGTAGTATTTTATGAATATGTCGTATAAACATGTTCTATAAAAAATCTTTAACAGAGCACCGCAAATCGTTTACTATTTGTCGAAGACTGAAATGTATAGTTATGTACAGTTAATGTGTAAAATATGTGTAAAAAAAGTACAATATATTAAATTGTGTGCCCGACTTCTGGTATGGTGGATTTGAGTTTATATTTCTTATTTTTACGATTCTTTGACAAGGTGAGTAGAAGTGTGTTGCGGACTAAAATATTGTATGTAGGTAGGTACTATTATGAACATAAATCAAATTCTTCCTGCAAAATAAATGTAGAACAATCGCCGAGCTGCATATTCTATACATCTTGTTGAATAAACAAGCGCTTATTTTACATTTCTTTCAGATGGCACTAAATTATTGGCATTACCATTTGAATTAACCAGAGAACTCTCTAAAGAAGGTTTATGGTAAATCTTTGACCTATAATGAGCACATTGATAATCCTGACGTATATAGTTTTATTAGTGTACATAATAGTTTTAGATTAAAAAAGCAATTTGATATTTCATTGTTGTAGTGAGTCCAGTATTTTAATACATATTTTGCTAAATAGCAATTGGTCTAGTGTTGTATGCGTATTGTAGTAAAATTGCTGTCAGAGTCTGACGTAAAACCATTTTCAAGCTTGTTTCTTAAAAACATCATAATCATTGGCTCTAAAAATAGTATAGTATAAATTAAGGTTTTTTTTTCTTTTTACGTAGCGTAAATTAGGTTTTCGTCTGACTCATAGTGAAAGCTTATTTGAGAGGTTTAGAATATAAATTGTTATTTTTCAGTTTTAGTTCACTGATTAGTAGATTAAGTTAGTTAAAATATGTATACCCGGCCAATTCTGGCCACTTAAAACCTTGTCTTAGGTTTGTTATTTGATGATCGATGATAATCAGTTTGTACTTACTGATTATATAAGTTTGCATTTTGTTTACGTCACTATGTATATAACTAATATAATACGGTTAATTTAATACATTGTTTTAAAAATAAATATTGAGATTTTATTAACCTCCCTCCCATCACCTTTAGCTAATCTCATATTTGTAAGTGTGCTTCATCATCAGCCTATCGCAGTCCACTGCTGGACATAGGCTTCTCCCATTGCACGCCACTTAGATGATTTTGTGCTTATACACACAAAAAAAAAACTAAGCAACATGTACGGTTTTGAACTTTTGAACGATTTTTTACTATTGTAATATACAGTCAAAATCTGTTATAACGACATCGAAGGGACATTTGGTCGTAAAAACCAATGTCGTAACTGCCGGTGCCGTTTTCGAGAAACAAAGTATTTTTATATGACATAAGTCCGCCTCGTGCAAGTTGTAATGCAGGAAGTGTAAAATAAAAAAGATAAATGTACTACAATGAACTTGCACGTGTATTTTGTTTCTAAGAATTACGAAAGACCCTTAATTCGACACGTTTTTGTTTACTTTTGCCATCTTAATAGCCATTGACTATTATAATGTGCATACTGTTAAATTGCAAATGTGGATACTGTTAAATTTTCAAATTGTTTACAATACAGCTGGTCGGTCTAACAGATCAAACTCTCCGAAGAGATTAGTTAAATGTAGTCGCTTAATGAGGTATGTCTTAAAAAGCAATGAAATCATATAGCATTCAATAAGGCAGTCATATAGCATTCAGCCAGAACCTTTGATTTTGGTCGATATAACCGATATGTTGTTCTAATCGATGTCGTCACAAACTGTTTTAACTGTATTTATATTTCTTTTATAAATAATAACTAAGCATTCTTTGATTCATTGCCTAAAGCTACAAAATCCTTCATTCAATTGTTCATTTGATTACAATAATTAACAATATATGCACCGTATCATACATAGTATGAAATAAAGTTAAAATGAAATTGAACTTTCATGTTTAACAAAATTAAATAACCATTTTTTATTATTATTTAGTAATTAAATATAAAGCGTGGACGCCTGTTATTTAAAACTTGTCGTCAACGATTTTTTTATTGAATTTATAAGATTGTTTATTTGATACTGCAGCAATCGCTACCAATGGAATTTTAACAAGTCTGTCAGTTGTTGGGTTGTTGACACTCCGTCCAGGTTCTCTAGCAAACATCTCTGGAGCATATCCCATGCGTGCTCGATGGAATTGAGGTCTGGCGATTGCGTAGGTCACGGCAATACCCGGATGTTTTCCACTGCCAAGTACTCTTTGCTCCTCCGAGCTGTGTGCGAACGCGTATTCTCATGCATCAGCGTGAAATCTGAGCCCAGACTCTGTGCAAATGGGTGAATATAAGATCCGAGGACATCTTCAACGTAAGCTTCTGTGTTCATATTGTCATCTACAAAAACGAGCTCAGTTCGTCTGTTCATCATAATAACTGCCTATGCAGTCACTGTGGAGCCATTGTAAGGTTACACTTCCTGGACACACTTTTAGCCGTTCGGCATGTCCGAGACGACGATACATTGCTTATCTTTATCTTTAAAAAAGACAACTCCCGCATTAGGAATATATCCTGTGCCGCGGGGGACTTCACAAACATACATGAAACGGACACAAAGAACACCCAAACTCAGAACAACAATTTAAGTATCACACAGCGTCGTCCCATGTGGGGATCGAACCCACAACACCGCGTAGTAATAAGCAGCGTGGCGACCGCTTAAACCACTACGCCATCCGTGCCGTCGAACTGATACGAGAAGGGTATCCAGAAGCAATGGCCGTGGTGCTTCCCTGTTTAAAAGGGTGTATGCCTATTTTACTTCATTTTGTCTCCCGCTTTCCTAAGGAGGGAAGTGGATTTACTGTAACTCCTCCAATTTTCTTCTGATTAATTTCGTTGCGGGTTCTAAGACAGTTTAAATTCTTCCTGGGACTTACCGAGTGTCATAACTCGGTGTGTTCGTGGGTCACTGCTGTGGATCCTGTTGTACAAGACAGTTACAGTGGTGGGCGTGTGGGTGGGATTAGTCCCATTTAAAAAAAAAGGTATCCACTCTTACTCTTCTCGTATCAGTTCGTTTCGACGGGCGCGATTCCCGTGCCGTATAGGTGGGCACCTATTTGGGCTTCGTGCTCGTAGTCCAACAACAACAACACCGCTTGAGAATTGTAGCCTTAAACCTAACTACCGGTCGGTTAACATCGGCTGGCGTCTTGCGGTCAGTTGCATGTATCGGTCCTGTCAGTAGGTGTGCTCCTTCCACGTCCTGGGTGCTGCTCAGCAGGATCCCCTGTATTAACAAACACTCCCCGTTTTTGCAACATTTTTCATTAGGCCTCTGCTCCTCTATGTCGTAGACTAAAAAAAATGTTTGTAGTGGACCAAATTGTTCATTCTCAAATCCACTTGAATACACAAAAAAAAAACACCAAAATCGGTCTAGCACTCTAGCCGTTTAGGAATTAGGAACGCACCGAAGAATTATATAGAAAGATAATTTTATATAATTCTATTCTAGTTAGGAAAAAATGATATGTTAGGAAACTTAATTGGCTCTCATCATGTTATTCTTTTTTTTAGTTTTATTTCTAGCTTAAACAAATAAATAATAATAAATGGGTGTGAATTTTATTTTGCCATAAGTGCGTAAAACGAACCGTGTGCGTTACCCCAGCAAAATAATGTGGAAAATGGTCATTTAAACGTTATAGATAATTAGTTGCTCCCCTTCTGTAATTGTTAGGCACATTTTTAAATTTGTTTCACTTAAACTTTTTTAGTTATTTCAAAAAAAAACATTTCCTGCTGGAGTAACGTTTGAAACGTTACTGCAGCCAGACATTTTCTTTTTTAATTGTAATATTGAAATAAATGTTAGCTAAATAATTAGTTATCTGGACTAGGTAAATGTTACAACTTATTTGGTATTTGTATTTTCTTCGGCTGCGAAGTTATTCGAGATCCTGCTGGAGTAACGTTTGTG